ATATGAAGTTCAACGATGAGAAATTTCAATTACTCAGATATGGTAAACATGAGGAAATTAAATCTTCATCAGAGTACAAAACAAATTCTGGCCACAAAATAGAGCGAAACACCAACGTCAAAGACCTGGGAGTGATCATGTCGGAGGATCTCACCTTCAAGGACCATAACATTGTATCAATCGCATCTGCTAGAAAAATGACAGGATGGATAATGAGAACCTTCAAAAACTAGGGAGGCCAAGCCCATGATGACACTCTTCAGGTCACTTGTTCTATCTAGGCTGGAATATTGCTGCACACTAACAGCACCTTTCAAGGCAGGTGAAATTGCCGACCTAGAAAATGTACAGAGAACTTTCACGGCGCGGATAACGGAGATAAAAACACCTCAATTATTGGGAGCGCTTGAGGTTCCTAAACCTGTATTCCCTGGAACGCAGGAGGGAGAGATACATGATTATATACACCTGGAAAATCCTAGAGGGACTAGTACCGAACTTGCACACGAAAATCACCCACTACGAAAGCAAAAGACTTGGCAGACGATGCACCATCCCCCCAATGAAAAGCAGGGGTGTCACTAGCACGTTAAGAGACCATACAATAAGTGTCAGGGGCCCGAGACTGTTAAACTGCCTCCCAGCACACATAAGGGGGATTACCAACAGACCCCTGGCAGTCTTCAAGCTGGCACTGGACAAGCACCTAAAGTCAGTTCCGGATCAGCCGGGCTGTGGCTCGTATGTTGGTTTGCGTGCAGCCAGCAGCAACAGCCTGGTTGATCAGGCTCTGATCCACCAGGAGGCCTGGTCTCAGACCGGGCCGCGGGGGCGTTGACCCCCGGAACTCTCTCCAGGTAAACTCCAGGTAAACAGGTATGCTGTACTGACATCCTGCCCGTATCCTACCTCACTCTGTATGCCATGAAGAAATAAACTGATTTTCACTTAACCTTTCTGCTCTGCACTGGTGACAGTAATATGCGAGATGTATTTATAGAAACCGAGGCTTGCAACATGTGGGTAGTTGGTGAATTTTGGGGGATAGGGGGTTACTACATTATTGAATTTAATTTTGTTTGTTCACTGTATAACTCTTTCCAGATTCATTCCTGACTGATTTTATTGAATTCCTCACACTGATGTTGATTGGGTTATTGTGGTATGGGGTATATGTTGTATGGTTGTATATGGTAGGCCTGTGTGGTTGCCTGGTGGCACTGCCAGAAGTATGGCTGTAACACGACACCCCAGGGTACATGGCACTTCTCACATGCGATGCCACATTTTAGTTTAAAACACTTTCATTACGTTTAATCACTATCCTTGAGTCGCTCCACTGACAATTTAGGTTCACTAGATCCTTCCACTATGTATCGGTATCCTAGTCAGATTATTATATGTGGTAACTGAAATATTTATGTGTACACTAAAACACAAGTCAACACCAGGACGAGTAGATTGTCCCACACTGCTACACTGCGCTATTTTTAGTTTCTTTTTATTTTATCACTGGTATTTTTATCATTCTGCTGTCCACTGGTTATCACAAAGGATATACACCATATTTGTCCAAGATACACTTTTCACTGCATTATACTGGGATCGTTAGGTTAGGTTAGGTTAGGTTAGGTTAGGTAAGGTTCGTCAGGAAACAGGACAAATGTTTCCTGACGCGGGTCTTAGTCAGATGATGACCCGCCTTTGGAGCTTTTGGTCATCTGACCGAGGCCTTCCGCTGGCTTACCGGTCCACCCCTTTAAAAATTATGGTCATTTATAACCAGTCTGTACTGGGATCGTTGTTTTATCACTCACACGGCCGCTAGGCCTAGGCTAATTTTCCCCTTACACTTCCATTTAAATTGATTTCATGCCTATTTCTCAGTAGTGGTAGTTATTTTTTTGTGATATTTTTTCTAGCCAGTCTACTCCCTCCACTACAGTTACCCATAATGGTAGTCCAAATTTTTCCATTTTCACTCAACAGTCATACGAGTTACTGCTTCCCTGTTTCCCACCAACACTAGGCTTAGTCTGGGTCCTTGGTACTTCCAATATTTTGTTTGATTTCCATTTAAAGAATGCATGGATCACGGCATTAATGTTTCTTTTCCAGAACTGGGACCAGCCCCTCGGGTATTTTCCATTTGGAACTTGTGATTTGTCTCTCTCCCTTTTTCCTACGTGATTTCGCCTACCTTAAAAAGGGCTGTTAGTATAAAGAAAATATTCCAATCTAGACAGCACAAGTGACAAGAATATTACTGGTGTTGGCATAGTTTTCAAAGGTGTCATCCGGCCTGTCATACAAATTGTAGTATTGTCTGCAAATTATGATAGTAACTGTATTGTTATTTATCCTTAATGAATATGAGTTATGGAGAGTAGTATTGTACCTTAAGAAGAGTTGTTTTTCCCTCACTGTAGCAACTCCTTATGTCACTTTTTGACACATTAAAAGTCCAGCTAAAAAAGAAGGCATCCATCTGCCCACAGGGGCGTAGACCCAGAAGACCCTCCACGTGTTCCAGACATAGTCTGAAGCTTTATAAGTGTGTATTTTGCATCCATTTTTTGTCTAGTGACACCAAAGAATGTAATACACCAATTTTCAAATTTTGACAAATTTTTAAATGTAGGACGTCTCCTGGTTGGTTACTAGTTAGTTGACCTACTTCTAGGTTTTCATTTTCTCCGATACTAAATTTTCCTGAATGCGTCCCATTAGCATAATTGCTTATACCCACCTTGACTTTGGTAAAATTTTGCAGTCACTTTCCGCATTGTTATACTTGTTCAAAACTTTCTAAAATATTTCACGCTTACACACATAATGGTGTCCATAATTTTCTAGTCACTTAGGCGTAGGCTGTAATGTTAAGTTAGCTTATTTAGTTAGGTTAGTTAGCTTAGGTTAGGTTAGGTAAGGTGGTAGTTATGTTTTATTTGGTTTTTTAGTTCATGTTAGGTATGCTTAGTTATAAGTTACCTTAGGTTAGTAATTTGATTATGTTCACTCAACAGTTATGTTAGATTATGTTGTTTCACATTAGGTTAGTTAGGGTTTGGTATGTAGATTATGTTGTGATTTCATTTAAAGATTAGGTTAGTGAGTTAGTTATTTTTTAGTAGGTGGTAGCCTCGGTTTAGTTAGGAAGTTGGTTAGGTTAGTGTTTCTTTTAGTTACTGTTTGCCTACCTTAAAATGTTAGGTTAGTATAAGTTATGTTAGTTAGGTTAGGTATGTCTAGATATGTTAGGTTGTTAGGTTAGGTATGTTTATGCTAGGTTAGTAGGTTGTTCGATTATAGGCTGGTTATGTAGGTTAGGTTAGGTTGGTTAGGTTATTTAGATTAGTTAGTTATGTTAGGTTAGTTAGTTGAATAGGTTATGAGGTTAGTTAGCTTAGGTTAGGTTGTTAGTTTCCCGTTAGGTTAGGTTAGTTATGTTAGTTAGGTCATTAAGTTATAAAAAAGATAGGTTAGTTAGTTGCCAGGGTTAGATCCAGTTAGATCCTTAGGTTAGATTATGTTAGTTGGAAGCTTTATTAGTTTAATTTGGTTAATTTGTTAGGTTAGGTTATTTAGGTTAGGTTAATAGCACCAGGTTGAATTGTTAGATTTATTTAGAAGTGTATGAGGTTCTGTTATGTTAGTTTTTGACTTATTGGTTAGGTTGTTTCTACTTAAATTTTTATTTAGTTACATTAGATAGTATTCTGTATACACTTTATTTACCAGTCAGGTTAGGTTAGTTAGTTTTAGGTTAGTTACTTAGTTTAGTTAAGGATTTGTAATATTTATCGCTTTGTAGGTTAGATTAGTCACGGTTAGATTCGGTTAGGTTATTTAGTTGGGTTAGTTGGTTAGGTTAGGTTATGTTAGGTTATGTTAGGTTAGGTTAGGTTAGGTTAGGTTAGGTTAGGTAAGAGTTGTCAGGAAACAGGACAAGTGTTTCATATGATGAAACATATGATCATCAGCCGCTGGAGATTTGGTCCATCTGAAAGAGGCCTTCAGCTGGCTTACTGATCCACCTCTTTAAAAATTATGGTTATGATTATTACATTCTTAATAATACAAACATTTCCTCATGCAACCTTCTAGCAACATCTGTTATTGTCGTGTTACTGCTAACCAAGACTGACATTGCACCAGTCACTTTTCTTGACTCATTCTGTTAACTTCTCTTATGCTTTCATAATGTGTCTCGCACAGCCAGGTATTTCAACGTACCAATAAACGTCAGTATTTTTTTACAAAAAAAAAAAAATCACCTGTAGCAATGTTCACATTCCTAGACAATTCAATTTAACTAAATGTAGGTTCACCTTATTCACAAAAAATTGAAATTTTTTTTAGTTACAAGATAAAAATTTTGGGGGTCTAACCTTTCCTCATCAGATCAATTTCATTTTTAAATTATATGTTGCAGTTTTTAACTGTAGTGTAGACACACCTCTGGTAAGATAGTGATAGACTGAATTATGATGAAAGTGTTTATCTTTTTTGGGGGGTCCCCCCCCGGTCCCCCCGGTCCCCCCCCGGTCCCCCCCCCCGGTCCCCCCCCCCCGGTCCCCCCCGGTCCCCCCCCGCCCCCGTCCCCCCCGGTCCCCCCCCGCCCCCCCGGTCCCCCCCTCCTGATTTGGTGGGAAACTGCTAATGTGTTACTAAAAAAAATTACCTTTTTATATACAATTAATTTTGTTCTTTTTATCTAAGGAAACTTGCAATGTGAGAATTTACCTAAAACATTTTATTCTAATATCTTTAGTATAGAAACTTATGAAACCAAATTATTAAACTACGCTTAATCATTGGATAAACAATAGTTACTTTACAGTTTAGTTATTAAATCTTTTTTATTTTTATTACTCTTAAGTTATTGAATATGTCAATAATCATTGTAGAAAAGAAATATTCTCGATATTTTAGCTGACTTTGAGACTGAAGAAGCTAACAGACACAGCAGAGAGAGAACAAGGAAGGAAAATACATACCTGAATTATCTGATCTTTCTGTGTCTCAAAACTGAAGTTCAGTCCTCCGAGATAATAGGTGTAAACTCTTTTGGTGATAGACAGAGGGTCGGAGGAACCTTCACAGCAGATCAGACTCAGAGGACCCACGTAGGAGAAATTATTTAGAAGTGACTCTTGAAGGTTCTTCTCAATATACAGAGCTGAAAATACGAAAGAAATGGTATAAAATACAGTCACGAAGAATAAAAAGGAAATGAAATATAATCTTATAATGCTTTTGTCTTTATCCAGAGCTGAAAACAGTCGATATTAAACTACCGTAGACCGATGCTCTATTACAGGTGTAGCTGACAAGAATTGCCAACTTAATCTTAATATACTAAGACGATATTATGAATTTTGAGACCAGTCAGACTTTAGTAGGAAGATTATTTATAATCAAAAGTAAGCACAAAATCCACCAGGGTTATGCAGGCTGGTTATATTTATACCTTGATTATTTAGTGTGTTGTTGATAGGGCAAGGAGAAAGCATGTCTAATTAATGGAATTACGAGAACATGCCCAATCATGGATTCACGGCTTATAGGAGCTTTAGATGTCATTTATAAGGATAAAATTAGAGTACAGTGCCTGCACTCTGAAGGAGGGGTGTTAATGTTGCAGTTTAAAAACTGTAGTGTAAAGCACCCTTCTGGCAAGACAGTGATGGAGTGAATGATGGTGAAAGTTTTTCTTTTTCGGGCCACCCTGCCTTGGTGGGAATCGGCCAGTGTGATAATAAAAAAAAAATAGAGTAGCTTCATTATCACTCCTTCAAAATGTTATTCAGCACGTGGCTAATGACACCTTTGTGAATTAGATCTAGCGCAAAGTTACTCTGTTCACTGCTGGTATGAATCACAGTAGCCTGAGAAGATAAGAACAAATATTCACTCATCTCTGCAGTAAGCAGCACAGCCAAGTTAGTGAATTTAGTATTAAAATTTATAAATATAAGATATGTATGTGATAAATTATCTACGTGAACCTCACCATTATCTTCATACAAGTAATTTGATTAGAGGGCAACAATAATACATTATTTACATTGGTTGCACCTCTGAGGTATGTGGGAAACTTTTGAGATACTCCAGGTTACAAGGTAAATATCTCCCTTCGACAGTCAATACTCTCTATACACATCTAACCTGGATCAAAATATTTATATAATATATAAACACTAATAATTATGAATTAATAGTTAGATAGAAGTTGTGGACTGTATGATTAGACTAGACTGACCGAAGTAGAGGGGGAGGGGGGTTTACACCACTTACCTAATTTTTTCTGGTTATCGCTTGATGCAGCTGGGTCACCCACAAACTGCTTATCATATAGAATATGTTGGCCAACATGCAACTATACAATAGAACTGGTACTTAACTGTGGTGGACTGCATTCTCCATTTCTCCCTGCCTCAATCTCAAAGTCCTGCTAAGTTGATATGATTTCTCTTCAGCAGGACGTTATTTCCGATTTGTTTTAATCCAATTTCGGAGGTGGAGCGCCATTTAAAACCTCCGTGGACGCTGGTCAACATGTGGCCACACTGGAATTTCAATGTGATGAACTCCTCATTTCACCTAATATCACTTTGGTTGAGTGTGGTTTTCACTATTTTCTTCACAGTTCGCAGTGTATTACATTCCCGTATTATTTTCTGTTCATCGGAGGTAGATTCACAGTAATTTGTCCTCGATGAAGCTTGATCAAATTAGACGAGATTGTTGTCACCACCTCCACACTCTTCAAGTCGGCGTTCCTCACTATTTCTCATTCTCACCACCCTATTATGGTGGTTTCCTTGACGTATTGTCCCATATTCTACACCGGGAACAGTTACAACCCTTCTGACTATGAAGTGAGGCTTATATTACTCCTTAGGCCGCTGTGGATGCCAATTTCCTGGTCCTATTTTTGACCAGTTTCCTCACCCCATTCAAAACACTTTCGTGTCTCCCCACGCCTTCTCCCGTCGGGCAAGCGTAGAGCTTCTCTCAGTTTTCCTTTTCCACTTCCAATTAAAATTTAAACGAACAGCAATACACTAATTATGCACATTCACATTATAAAATATATATAATATAAATTTGGGAAAATTACATTAAAATTTTCATAATGTTTGTGTTGTGCGTTTTAGCTGCCATGACTGGCAAAGCCAAGGCAGGAGTCAGTCTCCAAGTTCCATGGAGAGGATCTCGTACTGGCAATTCCTAAGAAGCGTCATTTATACCCAGTTAATATAGTTTTCGAATGGGCTTTTAGTACAACATATAACGTAAAAATGCCACGGCGTGTGTTAAATCACGAATTACTGAAGCAGTAAAAAAAATATGATTAAAAATTGTAATAAAGTTTATTACGGTCAAACTGGAAAAAAAACTAAGAAACTAAGATTGCAACAACATAAATAGAGCATTAAAACTGGACAGGAGGTTAATGCTTTGTTTATTCATGTGAGAGATTTTAACCAGGGAAGTGATGTTCACAAGGACCAGAAAGTTGCATCAGCAGATTTATGCTTCACACAAATATAAATGATTTAAACTTCATAAAAAAGAGTACCGATTTTTTTATGAATAATAATTTAGGGCTATATAAACTGTATTGTATAACAGGTCCTTGATATTACTATGACAAGTTCTTGATATTACTATGACTGACAAGTTCTTGATATCACTATGCTTGACAAGTTCTTGATATTACTATGACTGACAAATTCTTTATCACTATGACAAGTTCTTGATATTACTATGACTGACAAGTTCTTGATATCACTATGCTTGACAAGTTCTTGATATCACTATGCTTGACAAGTTCTTGATATTACAATGCTTGACAAGTTCTTGATATCACTATGCTTGACAAGTTCTTGATATTACTATGACTGACAAGTTCTTGATATTACTATGACTGACAAGTTCTTGATATTACTATGACTGACAAGTTCTTGATATTACTATGACTGACAAGTTCTTGATATCACTATGCTTGACAAGTTCTTGATATTACAATGCTTGACAAGTTCTTGATATCACTATGCTTGACAAGTTCTTGATATCACAATGACTGACAAGTTCTTGATATCTCTATGCTTGACAAGTTCTTCATATCACAATGCTTGACAAGTTTTTGATATCACCATGCTTGACAAGTTCTTGATATCACAATGCTTGACAGGTCCTTGATATCACAATGCGTTACAGGTTCTTGATATCACTATGCTTGACAAGTTCTTGATATCACTATGCTTGACAAGTTCTTGATATCACTATGACTGACAAGTTCTTGATATCACAATGCGTTACAGGTTCTTGATATTACAATGCTTGACAAGTTCTTGATATCACTATGACTGACAAGTTCTTGATATCACAATGCGTTACAGGTTCTTGATATCACAATGCTTGACAAGTTCTTGATATCACTATGCTTGACAAGTTCTTGATATCACTATGACAAGTTCTTGATATCACTATGCGTTACAGGTTCTTGATATCACTATGCTTGACAAGTTCTTGATATCACAATGACTGACAAGTTCTTGATATCACAATGACTGACAAGTTCTTGATATCACTATGCTTGACAAGTTCTTGATATCACAATGCGTGACAGGTCCTTGATATCACAATGCGTTACAGGTTCTTGATATCACTATGCTTGACAAGTTCTTGATATCACTATGCTTGACCAAGTAAAACTTGCTGTTTTGGCCTAAATAGCAACACACTTCTTGCCGAATAAGGCAAGCGAAAATTTGTGTATGCAATAATTTCGCAAAAATCATTCTGAACCTAACGAAAAAAATATATTTTATTGTGTTTGTTTATTATTAAATTACTGTAAACTTATCTAAAATATATTTAGTTGGATTAGGCTAAATTATATTGCGCTCTTTATAGTAAGGTTAGGTAAGTTTAAAAGGTTGCTTTGGTACAAAATTATTAATTTTTACATTAACATAAATGAAATAATGTATCTTTAAACGTACAGGAGAAAATTTTAGAATGGACTTAATTTTAAATGAGTTCTTGCTAATTGACCAATTTTACCTATTCGGCACGACATTATATAAATGCGACTAGCAGGGGATGGAATCCAGATATTTTAGCACACCTCTCGAGAAGCCCTCCAAGATTCAGAGATGCGTTAGTTCATTGGCCCATCAAAGCTTCAAACATCAGGTGCCTAGTACCACTGGACATATGTGGCTGTTTGAAGCACTGATGACCAGTGAACTAATTTTGGCGGGCTTCTCTGAAACCATGCTAAATTGTCGGGGGTTCGATGCCCAGGTAGTCGCAATATATTTATTTGCTTAAAGCCACACGTTCCTGGATGTATTAATATGTATTACTTGACTCACGAAATCGTAATGACACGATTGCAAACAAACCATACCACGGGCGGGGCTTGAACCCGGGGTAGAGAGTCGTTCAGTTCCAAACTAACGCGTTAACCACTGGGCGGGAGATTCATCTGTTAAAACTTGCATTTGTGGTCACAGTGGTGCCTGTGCTTACCTTCCAGCGGTGTGTAAATATACCTAGTTGGATGAATTTTATTATAGCCAGCTGGCCCAATGGCTAACGCGTCGGTCTGGAGTTTTACGACTCTCTACCCCGGGTTCAAGCCCCGCCCGTGGTATTTTTTTTTTTATGTATTCCTTATGAGATTGGTATTCCAAACGAGAGGAGAATGAAATTAGTCCTGAAGTTTCCAGAGCCACGTATGTGTTCGCATCAGAAGTGACATGTTCAGTGGCACTGGTCACCTGATGTTTGAAGCACTGATGGCCTAGTGGATCAAGGCATCTCGGGTGTGGTTACTCAAAAATCAGAAAACGAGGTTAATATTCAATTTTTGTGTGTTCCATCACACACTGAAATGTTCTGATAGAATTAATAAATTAACCTAAGCACCCTAAAGGAAAATGTAGAATACAGTGTATGTGTGTATTATTGGAATAATTTTAGAAAAGTAAATAAATTGATCTATTACTCACTATTATAACATGAACGTAGATAACATCTCTATGGAGCAAACTGTAATATGAACAATGGCTGTTGTAATAACCAGGCTTAGCAATGATTACAAATACTTCTGCATATAGTTTGTGAGTCACAATAAATGCTAAGTATGTAGTAGCCCTTATGATCAATTTCTAAACACTGCTTCATTGTTCACTTTGAGAAATATAGTGACAATATAATAACCCAAGTGATATTTTCATTAATAAAACTTCTTGATACAAGATAGCAGACATATTAAGCAAATATTCTACATCTGCTTGCAATAGACGAGACAAATGAACATATAAATGTAATTCGTTTCCTCTTAACCATTTTGGAGCCTTGTACTCGCTTATATGTACTCACTTATGTGTGATTGCAGGGGTCGATTCACAGCTCCTGGCCCCGCCTCTTCGATGGTCGCTATTAGATCCACTATCTCCTGCCTCTAAGAGCCTTATCGTACCTCTTCTTAAAACTATGTATGGATTCTGCGTCTACACTCTCTAGATTGTTCCATTTCGTGACAGTTCTAAGGCTGAAGAAATACTTTCTAATATCCCCATGACTAATCGAAGTTTTCAACTTCCATCTATGAAACATTCTGGCTCTGTTCATCTTGTCAATTCCTGTCAGTATTTTGTATGTCGTTATCACGTCCGCCTTATCCCTCCTGTCTTCCTGTGTCATCAGTCTGAGTTCCCTTAACTTCTCATGGGACATACACCTTTGTTCCTGTACTAGTTTTCTTAGAAACTTTTGTGTATCCATATGCTCTTGTGCGTGTACACTCGGTGGACGCTCTGTTAGGCACGCTTGTACACTTGTTCGTTAATGCAAATAGCTAATCAGCCAATCACGTGGCAGCACCTACGTGCCTAAGAACATGCAGACTTGGTCCAGAGTTTTGTTGTTCAGACCCAACATCAGAATGTTGAAAAATGTGATCTAAGTGATTTTGACTGTAGAAATTGATTGTTGGTGCCAGACGGAGTGGTTTAAGAATTTCAGAAACTGCTGATCTGGGATTTTCACGCACAACAGTTTCTATAGTTTACAGAGAATGGTGTGAAAACCAAAACATCCAGTGAGCGGCAGTTCTTTGGGCAATAACGCGTTGTTAATGCGAGGTCAGAGGAGAATTGCCAGACTATTTCAAGCTGATAGGAAGGAGACATTAACTGAAATACCTAAGCTTTACAACATTGGTATTCAGAAGAACATCTCTGGCACAGCGAGTTCCAGTTGTCATACCTAGAAACGGGAAACTGAGGCTACAGCGAGCACAGTCTCACTAAAACTGGACATTTGAAGATTGGAAAAAACATCGTTTGACCTAAAGAATCGTGATCACTGCTGGGACATGCAGACTGTAGGGTCAGAATTTAGCGTAAGCCTTTAGGATGCGATGGAATGGAAGGTTCAAAGCAGGAATGTGCAGCCAACAAATCTACAGCAACTGTGTGCTGCTGTCAGGTCAACGTGGACCAGAATCTCTAAGGAATATTTCCCGCACTTTGTTGAATCCATGCCACGAAGAATTCAGGCTGTTCTGGGGGCAAAGAAACTAAGAAGAGTGTACCTAAAAGGTAGAAAGAGTAGAAACATGCAAAAATTTAAATTAAATTCTAAATTAATTAACCCTTAAACTGTCAAAACAAATTTACGTTCTACATGTGTAGTGCTCCTAAAGTAGATCTTTTTTTTTACATATTTTCAAATATAACAAAAAAAAGTAGATCAAAGTTTTTTTTTACACGTTTTCAAATGTAAAAAAAAAAAGAAAAGAAGATCTACTTTTTTTACATACTTTCAAATGTTGAAAAAACGTAGATCTACGTTTGGACAGTTTAAGGGTTAAAGTTAATGTAAAATAAAATATCTTCAGTGAAGTAAAACGGTTGACCAGTAGACTTACGGTAGCCGACCAGGTAGCCTTCATTATGTGTGTTACCAGAGAGGATGTCCACGGCTTTGTACTGACGGTCTTTAAGAAGCTGCGCTGGCTGAGCCGGGATGAAGTCTCCGTCCACACGTGGTTTGAACGCAAGGGGAGAGATAAACCATTCCTAGAGAGGGGGGGGGTCACTCCTTTATTATACACATTATCCTGCCCCTCCTCCAAATTCATCACTCTTAGTTTCAAAGATTTTCCCGCGATGCCTGACGTAAGCCAGATATTATTCCATTTTTGTTTGTTAATTATAATTTAACTTAGGTTAACATATCACACAGTTTTTTCACTGCACAAGATAAGACAAATCAACGAACTGTACTGAGTGTGAAATTGCCGTCCTATACAGAAGAGACTGCCATTAAGTCAAAGACTTTCAAAGAGTGCAAGGAACTCTTAAAAGATCAGGGAATAATTATGTCAGCGGACGTTTCTTTTAAAGACCATAACAAGATAAAGATCACGACAGCCAGGAAGATGACGGAGTGGGTACTGAGAACTTTCAAAACAAGGGAAATAATGCCGATGGTGACACTCTTCAAAACGCTAGTGCTCCCTTACTTAGAATATTGCTCAGTGCTGACGGCCCCGTTCAGGGCAGGAGAAATACCGGAGCTGGAACAAATAGAGATCGTTTACGGCTCACATTAAACCAGTAAAGCACCTAAACTACTGGGGACGCCTGCAATTCTTGAACATGTATTCATTGGAGCGGAGGAGAGAGAGAGAAACATGATAATATTTACCTGGAAAATACTCGAGGTCCTGGTCCCAAACCTGCACACAGCTATAACAACATACTGGAGTGAGAGATATGAAAGTGTAGAATAAACCCAGTGAGTAGGGGTGCGGTGGGAACAATAAGGGAACACTGTATCAACATCCTAGGTCCCAGACTTTTCAGCATCTTACCAGAAGATATCAGAAACACGGCTGGAGCAAGTGTAGAAGCCTTCAAGAGGAAACTAAACAAGTATCTTCACCAGGTGCCAGATCAACTAGTATGTGATGGATGTGTGGGGCAGCGGCCTCCACCAGCAACAGCCTGGGTGACCAGGCAAGCACCAGACGAGCCTGGCCCGTGGCCAGGCTCAGAGAGTAAATTAACTCTCGAAACTCTTCAAAGGTAAAGGACTTTTTAAATTTCATATTCGTGTCTTAACCCGAACATTTGTCTTCCAAACACGCTGAGCGAATATTTATTTTTGCTGAAATTCCCAGAAAATAGGTTCCAGCAATAGTAATTAATACATTTCATAAATGTTTAATAATATCAAGTAAACTCAGGCTGACATATGTTGAGTAAAGTTAACAAGATTAAGTTAAGTTTCTAAGTCAGTATTAGTGCACAAACAAAATCTAGTACTACATTATTCACGTAAATATATCCATCCACATGTAAAAATTACAAGCTTGCTTGACAGCTATGTTATAAATCACAACGTCTTGAAGCTACAATCATTGTTTTGAAGCTACAATCATTGTTTTGAAGCTACAATCATTGTTTTGAAGCTACAATCATTGTTTTGAAGCTACAATCATTGTTTTAAATCTACAATCATTGTTTTGAAGCTACAATCATTGTTTTGAAGCTACAATCATTGTTTTGAAGCTACAATCATTGTTTTGAAGCTACAATCATTGTTTTAAAGCTACAATCATTGTTTTGAAGCTACAATCATTGTTTTGAAGCTACAATCATTGTTTTAAAGCTACAATCATTGTTTTGAAGCTACAATCATTGTTTTGAAGCTACAATCATTGTTTTGAAGCTACAATCATTGTTTTGAAGCTACAATCATTGTTTTGAAGCTACAATCATTGTTTTAAAGCTACAATCATTGATCACTGTTTTTCAATATATTCATATATAAATATATATTTATATATATATATATATATATATATATATATATATATATATATATATATATATATATATATATATATATATATATATTATATAAAACAGTGATCAATGATTGTAGCTTTAAAACATTCAAATTATGGCAGAGATCAAGGAACTTCAGTAACGGGAGATAAAACTGTCCACTAAAGCGAGATATTTAAAGCATTATATTACCCCATTTTAAATCTTGCCACAACATTCAGAATGTATAATGTCTACCATATTCTTTACACAGTGTGAAGTGGAATCACTGAAAATTTAAAATAATGAAGTTAAAACTTCATGTCTAACTTCATCGGTGTCTTTTAAAAACATTGGTTAATTTCTACTTGTTAATCTTCAGAATAAAATTAGATTTTCTCACGTTAAAGTAACCTATTTATTCCTTTTCTATTGAAATTGTATTCAGTCATATACGGATCATATTCTTATTTCTGGTTAGGCCAGAAGTAATCATTTTCTCCACATTTATCAGGTAAAAATTGCTACTTTTTCAATCTTAATTATAAATGACATTAGTAGCCCATATTTTATATGTAAAGAAATATTCCAGAATTAATAATGTAACAGAAAAGTTTATTCGAATTTTCATGTTAAACTTTTCTAATACTTGTATGAAAACTCGATTACTCTTAGAAATGCTTAATCGTTTCATTAATCTACTTAGAATATCATGGACCAAACTTTGAAATCTCAAGTTTTAAAACTCACGTGATAGAGGTGAGTTCAAACTCATTTTGATGGCAAAAACCTCACGCGGTTTTGCCAAGACTGACCCGCTGCACTTTCCTCAATCCTCATAACTGACTTTACCCTTGGCAAATTTGTGAATATGCACGCTGTCCATTTTTCACAGTGTATGACAAAATTATCACAGATAATATATTTGCTAAGAAGTCATTGCTTCGCTATTACGTAGTTTGTATCCAAATAATCCCCTTAACATAATTATTCTTGTTGTGCAATAAAAATATACAATACCGACAAGATGAAAGTTAAGACACATGTGCAACATCTGGGTATTTTTATTGTAGACGTTTCGCCATCCAGTGGCTTTATCAATACAAATTCTAGGACATAACTTGAAGACAGTAGAACTATATACAAAAGATGAGATAACAGTCCCTCAGCCTTGGAGTTGGTGTGGAGAGCACCGTAGTTGTAGAGATTCTGGAGCACAGGCATGTATGTATGTATATGTATGTCCAGGGTCCTAGCACGGGTCTTAATCTTGTAATGACCTGTCTCTGGCATTCCCAGCATATGCTGCTCAAGGACTGTTCTGGACATTTCGTCTAGTGTGTCTCACAAGCGACTGTGATTTGGTACTGAGGTTACTCCATCTCAGTTGTTTCCTGAGCTGGAGACTGGGCTTTGTCCGCTCTGACAATCTGAAAATTCGTGGCATCCACCGTCTCCTCCTCGGTCAGTAAGCACACCTTCAGGAATGTGCTGACCATCTGCCGGAACATGCTCTGTTGTTCCGTGGAGTTGATTGTGTTGCAAATAATATCCGTAAATGCCTTGATGAGTGTTAAGAGATCCTCCCTGGTGAGGGCCTGCGTTGTCGATGGGTCTCAGGCAGTGGATAATATCCGGGCTGTTGTGATCTGTGGGGACTGCTGAGGGTTGTATTTCTTCATTGTGCGCACTGTGGCCTGTTGCTGTGTGCCAAGTTGGGTAGCCTGCATCTGCTGGTGAGGTAAAGGCATAGTCAGGGAAGCCTGCATGGTGGCTATGCCGGGCAAGGAGTGCCTGCGTTGCCATGTTATGGCCGGTGGGGGCTCATGTAGTGCCGTCTGCAGATTGTGTTGACCAGATATTTCTGGTTGGTGCCGTTTGTTCCTTATGTTTTTGATTCTCCGTTGAGGTAGAGAGGCAGGAGGTTCCTGTCCGTGACGCCTGATTGAGGCTTCGAGGGTCAGAAATTCCTCGGCATTGAGTTGGGTGGTCTGATGAGAGTTCTGCAATATGGTAGGACTCTGCACCCATTGTCGCTCTGCCGTAGCCTGCTACCTCGTTGTTGGCGTCTTCCAGGCCTCATGAATTCTAGCAAGCCTCTCGGGGCATCGAGGGATCCAGGCATAGTGTTTCTGCCTGCAGTTCGGGCATCGTGGAGTGGGTGGCGATGCATTTTTCAGCTTGGTGATGCAGTCCTCGGTAGGGTGGCGCTGGCTACAAACACCGCAGATTACTCTCTTTGGACAGAGCGCACCCAGGTGGCCGTAAACTGGCACTTGAAACAGCGAACTGGTTCTGCCGTGAAGGTCCTGACATCGTACCTGCCCCAAGAACCGAGGTCCAACCGGGATGGCAGCGGTCCTACATGTGAAAGAGGACCTGCCCGGTTGGTGCATTGTCTGCCGTCTTTGCCTTGAGACGTTGAGCTGACACCACACTGGGGTGAGCTGCTGCTGTCTCGATGGGCATCATCAGCGGGTACCGCATCACTACACCCTTGGTGATCTTCTGCCGAGAATCCAGTTCCTCCAGGGTGAAGGAGCGATCTGCCTCAGTGATTCTCTTCAAGGCGGTGTACATTTCCTAGCTGAGAGAGTCAGCATTGGTTCTCCCTTCAGGTTGAACCATATCCTGAACTTCAGTTTGTGCCTTGATTCCAGGTGTGTAACCACGCCATAGTGGGTTCTGTGCTCCCCATAAGACTTTACCTTGAATCTACCAGGTAGGTTGATCCATCCTTCCGTATTCGCTGGCTGCATGGTTGAAGCTGTCAGATCTGCAGACTCTTCCTCTGATGACACTGAGTGCTCTCGCAACTTCTTCGCTAGGATTGGGCCCCACATTTCCAAATCCGGGTCCTCCGTCGTGTCCCTGGAACATCGTGACCTCTTCCTTTTGGCAGAAGCCATGTATCTGTCTCATACCGTGTCTCCTGTGTACGACGTGTGCGGGGAGTGTGGAGCACAGGCAAGGAGACTGGCGCTTACATAGGCGTCAGTGAATAGGGACGGGTAGCAGACGAGGGCATAGTCACTGGTAGGGGGGATTTCCCATTAGGAAAATTATGAATGAATGAGGATTGGTTGAACCCAAGTTCAAGAGGTGCTGCATAGCAATGTTTGATAATGTATGCTAAACCTGTATGCATTAAAAATACAAATCAAATTTTATGGAGATTTTGAAAAACTTACGAAGAAATTTTGGAGAGTTGCTGACAGGTTACGTGCGTCAAGTGTCTGTAGACAGGCAAGGAGGTGAGAGCTTCCCAGACTTGTGTCACAGCCCATGGATACCCCCACCTGCTCAGCGACCTGCCGGTGACCCGTACCTACACCGAACGTAGAAATGGCTGTTCCGGATTGCATGATTGCACGATGAAACAGGCCTGTACATAAATATGTTGACATATATTCAAATATTTTGATGAGAGAATAAACAGCAAATTATTGATATTCATGAACGTACCCGATTCCATGTGGGTTATTTAGAGCTACATTTAAATATACGGAGAAAAGTTACATAGAAAGATGTGGCTTTTAACTGAAAAATAAAAAAAAAAAGATCTTTGAAAAGCGCTTTGACCTGGCAGATTACTCATAACTTTGGTTAATGAATTCAATAACACATAATAACAACCAAGGTAAAAAGCAAAAGCTACTGGAATAAATTAAACAGTCTAAAAATATCACGCAAAACTAAATGCATCAGTAAAAAACGAAAGTAAGGCAAAATATTTAACAAAATTCTGAGGTATCTACAGGAATCCCTGTAAATATACAAACTACGACATTGACAAAAAGACCCAAATCGCGAGTAAACATTTAATGTGTTCCACATTGGTTAACTGCATGTTGTGGGATGTGATGGTGAGGTGTAGTCTTCACCCTTAAATGCTTCCTTTGATGCATAATATATATATATCACTATAAAGGGTCTATAGAATTCTTGAACCTTGGTGAACAGTTTTGAAGCAGTCTTCCTGGCCCTCATGTATTCGATAGGTTTTAAACCCTATTAATCAACTAACCTGTAAACAAGTAGCTATGGGTGACGAGTGTGTCCAATCTACATTTGGCAGAGAATGTCCTCAAAATGACAAATCTTATTGATGATCTGCCAAAAATCCACGGTCTACTGAACCCTGTGTATTTTTTTAGTATATATATGGGCCCATTGGGCCCGCCAGTACCCAAGGATATCTAATGAACTTGTAATGAGTCGATGGACTGATTACATCGTCTTGTAATGAGTCACTGAATCATAAGTCTGCCGAAGAGGAAGCTCAAAATGTGTGAAGATCGGGTAATTACTCTTGGATCTTTTATACCACGTGGACAGAAGCATACACGGCAAGAACAAACAGTACATTAAGAATTGAGGCGTGAGCCGAGATCCACCATAATTAACCATTTATCAGGGCGACAGCAGCGAAGGTTGCGTTTGGTTGTGTGCGTGATAGAGGCAACCTTTACTAAGTCAACACCACCCTTGTTGATTGCTCCATCAGGTAAGACCTTCATCATTTAATTACCTGGAGTTTACCTGGAGAGAGTTCCGGGGGTCAACGCCCCCGCGGCCCGGTCTGTGACCAGCCCTCCTGGTGGATCAGAGCCTAATCAACCAGGCTGTTACTGCTGGCTGCACGCAATCCAACTTACGAGCCACAGCCCGGCTGGTCAGGTACCGACTTTAGGTGCTTGCCCAGTGCCTGCTTGAAGACAACCAGGGGTCTATTGGTAATCCCCCTTATTTATGCTGGGAGGCAGTTGAACAGACTCGGACCCCTGACACTTATTGTATTGTCTCTTAAAGTGCTAGTGACACCCATGTTTTTCATTGGGGGGATGTTGCATCGTCTGCTGAGTCTTTTGCTTTCGTTGTGAGTGATTTTCGTGTGTAAGTTTGGTACTAGTCTCTCTAGGATTTTCCAGGTGTATATCATGTATCTTTCCCGCCTGCGTTCCAGGGAGTACAGGTTCAGGAACTTCAAGCACTCCCGTAATTGAGGTGTTTTATCTCCGTTATGCACGCCGTGAAGGTTCTCTGTACATTCTCTAGGTCAGCAATTTCACCTGCCTTGAAAGGTGTTGTTAATGTGCAGCAATATTCCAGCCTAGATAGAACAAGCGACCTGAAGAGTGTCATCATGGACTTTGCATCCCTAGTTTTGAAGGTTCTCATTATCCATCCTGTCATTTTTCTAGCAGATGCGATTGATACAATGTTATGGTCCTTGAAGGTGAGATCCTCCGACATGATCACTTCCAGGTCTTTGATATTGGTTTTTCGCTCTATTTTGTGGCCGGAATTTTTGTACTCCGATGAAGTTTTAATTTCCTCATGTTTACCATATCGGAGTAATTGAAATTTCTCATAGTTGAGCTTCATATTGTTTTCTGTAGCCCATTGAAAGATTTGGTTGATGTCCGCCTGGAGCCTTGCAGTGTCTGCAATGGAAGACACTGTCATGCAGATTCGGGTGTCATCTGCAAAGGAAGACACGGTGCTGTGGCTGACATCCTTGTCTATGTCAAATATGAGGATGAGAAACAAGATGGGAGCGAGTACTGTGCCTTGTGGAACAGAGCTTTTAGCCGTAGCCGCCTCAGACTTTACTCTGTTGACTACTACTCTTTGTGTTCTGTTTGTGAGGAAATTATAGATCCATCTACCAACTTTTCCTGTTATTCCTTTAGCACGCACTGTGTGCGCTATTACGCCATGGTCACACTTGTCGAAGGCTTTTGCAAAGTCTGTATATATTACATCTGCATTCTTTTTGTCTTCTAGTGCATCTAGGACCTTGTCGCAGTGATCTAGTAGTTGGGACAGACAGGAGCGACCTGCTCTAAACCCATGTTGTCCTGGGTTGTGAAATTGATGGGTATCTAGATGGGTGGCGATCTTGCTTCTTATGACCCTTTCAAAGATTTTTATGATATGGAATGTTAGTGCTATCGTTCTGTAGTTCTTTGCTATTGCTTTACTGCCCCCTTTGTGGAGTGGGGCTATGTCTGTTGTTTTTAGTAACTGTGGGACGACCCCCGTGTCCATGCTCCCTCTCCATAGGATGGTAAAAGCACGTGTTAGGGGCTTCTTGCAGTTCTTGACGAACAAGGAGTTCCATGAGTCTTGCCCGGGGGCAGAGTGCATGGGCATGTCATTTATCGCCTGTTCGAAGTCATTTGGCGTCAGGATAACATCAGAAAGGCTTGTGTTTACCAAATTCTGTGGCTCTCTCATAAAAAAAACTCATTTAGATCTTTGACTCTGTCTGGTTAGCGGCTTGCCAAAAACTGAGTCATATTGGGACTTGAGTAGCTTACTCATTTCCTTGCTGTCATCTGTGTAGGATCCATCTTGTTTAAGTAAGGGCCGAATACTGGATGCTGTTCTCGACTTTGATTTGGCATAAGAAAAGAAATACTTTGGGTTTCTTTCGATTTCATTTATGGCTTTTAGTTCTTCCCATGATTCCTGACTCCTATAAGATTCCTTAAGCTTAAGTTCGATGCTTGCTATTTCTCTTACCAGTCGTCCCTACGCATTTCAGATATACTGACCTCTTTTAGCCGCTCTGTTATTCTTTTCCGTCGCCTGTAAAGGGAGCGCCTGTCTCTTTCTGTTTTACATCTACTCCTAATTTTTCTTAAAGGAATAAGCCTTGAGCATACATCGAGTGCTACAGAGTTAATCTGTTCTAGGCATAAGTTGGGATCTGTGTTGCTTAGTCTATCTGCCCAGCTTATATCGTTTAGGACTTGGTTTACTTGGTCCCACTTTATGTTCTTGTTATTGAAGTTGAATTTGGTGAAGGCTCCCTCGTGACTAATCTCATTTTGTCGGTCTTGGGCTCCGCGCATACATGTCTGAACCTCGATTATGTAGTGATCTCAGTATATTGTTTTTGATATGGTGACATTTCATATCAGATCATCATTATTAGTGAAGATGAGGTCTAGTGTATTCTCCAGTCTAGTAGGCTCTATTATTTGCTGGTTTAAGTTGAATTTTGTGCAGAGATTTAAAAGCTCGTGTGTGTATGAGTTCTCGTCAGAGCTGCCTCCTGGTGTTATCACTGTAACAACATTAATTGCTATATTCCTCCATTTTAGGTGCCTCAAGTTGAAATTCCCCAGGAGGAAGATGTTGGGGGCAGGAGCTGGAAGATTTTCCAGACAGTGGTCAATTTTTAACAGCTGTTCCTGGAATTGCTGGGACGTTGCATCCGGAGGCTTGTAGACTACCACAATGACTAGGTTTTGGTTCTCGATCTTTACTGCTAAAACTTCCACTACATCATCGGACTGGTGGTACTGGGGACGACTTTTTTTTCCGGCACTAATATCTGTATCTGTTGGTTTGGAGTGGAGGCCATCGACTGTGGTTCCAGTCCAGAAATAACTGGATTTGGCGTACGATTTCTGCCATTTCCTGCCAGCTTTTTTTTCTTCCTGGCACTAAAAAACCTCTCCCTCTTGAGTGGCTGTAGCTACCCAGGTTTTCCCTTGGCCTGGATGTTTTGTATCTTTTTGTCCCCTTTAGATGGTGTGCCTGGCAATTTAAGTTATATCACAGTCTTTCCTGAACTGAAGAGGGACACATTTCAGGGTGAAAAGCTTACAGGAAGGGAGTTTGCATTTTCCTGTTGTCATATGGGCACAGCATTTTCTACGGTGGTCAAAGTTGCACGTCCCATCTGTTTTTCCAGATTTCCCATGTCTGCAGATACCAAGTGCATAGTATGTGCACAGGCTTGGTTTCCGTTTGCCTTGGGTTTTTGTGACTGTGTTCCCTGTTGGTGCATGTTTACCTGTCTCATTCCTATCCTCACTAGTACTAACAATGGAGCTCTTACCATGGGGACTCCACTATTGCTAGTGGAATCCCCATGTTTGCTATCTCCTGTGGTATTACTAGTTTGTAATATTGGTTTCATCCTGTCTTTGACTACACTTGTTTCCCCACTACAGCTCCTGTCTCCATCGAGGCCATTTATATGCATTCCCTCATGCGTACATTTACTGTCTACCTGAACAGCACCTCCAGCCTCGCCATTACTGTCTACCAGGACAGCACTTCCAGTCCCACAGTTACTGTCTACCAGGACAGCACCTCCAGCCTCGCCATTACTGTCTACCAGGACAGCACTTCCAGTCCCACAGTTACTGTCTACCAGGACAGCACCTCCAGCTTCACCATTACTGTCTACCAGGACAGCACTTCCAGCCCCACATTTACTGTCTACCAGGGCAGCACCTCCAGCCTTACAGTTTCTCTCTACATGGCCAGCACCAAGGGCGATACCATCCAGCCCAGACTTTTTATTTTCCCATCTGTTATAGAATGCTTCCAGATTTTCTATGAAGGCTGCTTTGATGTTTTCCTCTTTTAATTCCAATGTGATTTTGGTCCATAGATTGATCTCATTTGGGCATACCCAAAAGCACTTTCCTGATTTAACACTGCTTGTAGATAATTCTTGGATATCTGCACAAGGGGCGTGACACCAATTTTCACAAAAATGGCATGTAATCCATGTGGAAGCCCGTTTGTTTGATTTACTGCAGACTACACAGAATTTGATAATGTGATTTCAATGGTTGATTTCTGTAATTCTACTAGTTACCCCTTGAATATTCTACTAATAACCTGAACAAACACGTACTCCAAATATATATATATATATATATATATATATATATATATATATATATATATATATATATATATATATATATATATATATATGTGTGTGTGTATATCACCGAAATTAGGCAGTTTGGGGCTCCAGTTCACTACGTACACTACACTACCTACAACAGTGCTCTCTGTTATCATGTTGAGAGACTATAGTCGTCCAGCGAGCCAAATTATCCCTCTTTAGCCTTCACAGATGTAGTCTTATCTAATATTCTCATATACACTGTTCTGACATTGACCTTAACTATCCTAACTCTTTGCCCCGCTATTACTGGCTGTCTTACCTTTTTCACATCATGGTCCACGACGGACCAAAGCACATTAATTACTCTCAGATTCGTGGGTAAATTGGCACGCGTTCCAGGCACGGTTTTGACTTCAAAGAATTATTTCAGCTGATTTCTCAGTTGAAGATTGAGACACTTATGCAACATATAGGAATCTTTATTGAGGAAACGTTTCGCCAAACAGTGGCTTCATCAGTCCAGTACAAAGCAGAAAGGTGTAAGGAGAGGAAGAGTTTGAGGTAATCAGTCCCTCAGCCTGGAGTCGATATGTTTAGTCCATCAGTCTTGTAGAATGTACAGCATAGCGCCGTAGACGTGTCTTATATACTGTAGACAGGTGAGGCGAAGCAGGAGGAGGCGGGATCATAGTGGAACCACCACTAGTCGAAGCAGGTCTTCACGCAAAGGTTGGACAAGTTTTGAAGAATTCTTTATATCAAGATCCCATGATGATGTAGTGTCTGACAGTTGTGATGAATGGTTTTGAAAACCGACTAGTCGAAGATTGAGAAATTTTGCAACATATGGGAATCTTTATTAGAAGTAAATACACACAAATCTAAATGGATTGTGAAAACGTGCAATTGCATTAAGTTTTATAACCTGCGTGAACTGTATCACTGTAGACAACAAGAGCATTTCACCCCTCCATGGAAGATGTGTTCATTTAATATCACATACCTGCAAGTCCCTCCCAAGAAGCTCATTGCTAGTAATCCCTTCCTTAAATCACTTGTTAGAGCAACTGCTCAAGAAGAAATTTCTCACCTAGCTGGTAGTAATAAGTTATCACAAGTTATATACACTGATGGATCTAAACAGGAGTCTTCTGGTAGGGCTGCATCTGCTCTTGTTGCCACCTCCCTAGGTAAGAACGATAATAAATTTGTTGAGTTAGGCATAAGAATTAACAACTGGGCGTCTACACTGCAAACTGAATTGTTTGCAATCCTAATGGCGCTGAAGCTAACCTATGACACTGAGCTTGACTCTGTCATCATTACTGATTCTGTCATCATTGAAGGCTCTTGACTCATATAATGACTCCAACAACATGCTCATTGGAGAAGCCAGGTATAGATACTCAAAAATTAGGGACAAAGGAATTAATGTACAATTGCTATGGATCCCATCACACACTGGATTACTCCTTCATGATAAAGTTGATATGTTAGCCAAGAAGAATACCCAGAAGGAGAATGTAGAATATAACTTTGGTATAACTGTGTCTAGCATTAGGATTAATATTAGGAGAGAAGTAAATAATGAAAATGATTGTTATAGGAATGCAGTTAGAAGCCTGAGTAGATCTGTAACCCACTATGATAACATGAACGTAGATAAGTATGTTTATGGAGCAACGTGCAATATGAACAGACTGACTGATGTTGTAGTGGCCAGGCTTAGGCTTGGTTACAAGTACTTCTGGCAGCTTGGGAGACACACAGATGATGATCAAACTAAATGTAAATTATGTGATCAGGCATATGGTCACTCTCTTGAACACTATGTGCTTAATTGTCCACTTATTGAGGAATACAGAGACAGACAGTATAATAACCTATGTGACATGTCAAGATATCTTATTAATGAAAATAAGATACCAGATATACTAAGCAAATTTCCTAAATTTGCTTGTAACAGATAAGTGAACTATAGATATGTAGATATAAATCCATATGTATTCCTGTTAACCCTTTGGGGCCTAGTTCCTAGGCCTTTTGTGTATCCATATGCTCTCGCGCTACCGTCCACAGGATGGATATGGGGTGCACAATAAACTAGCCACTTCGGTGGCAAAATCTAATCCATTGAGGAAACGTTTCCTCAATAAAGATTCCCATATGTTGCATCATTGTCTCAATCTTCAACTTGTCGGTTTTCAAAACCATTCATCACAAAATTTCTCAGTAGTCATCCTTAAACTCCACATTCCTCCTAGCTTCCCTGCAACAAAACACGTTGTACGAACTAACCTTGTGATTTAGGACTCAAAATATGATGGTGCACCGATGCCCCTCCAGCACTCTCTCCGAAGATAGTAACAGAGTTAGGATCTCCACCGAAATTGTGTATATTGTTCTGCACCCAGCGGAACGCCATCGTCTGATCCTTCAGTCCAAAGTTTCCAGGAATAACAGAGTCCTCCGTCGACAAGAATCCTGGATAATAAAAATATTTTGACAACTAAGAATAGTAATTGTAGAGTTCCTTCTTTTGCAATAGTAATTCTTTTTATAATAATAATTTGCACATGTATGAGCTTGACCGAGTTTATGATTTGGCATAAACTAGTAACTTACATCATTATTATTGTTATTATTATTAAAGATTCGCCGGTATTCTCCCGGCCCGGGCCTCTTCCAAGTGGTGGCCCGGCCTTGACTCCCTGTTTTGGGAGTGTCTGAGACCTAAGTCTCCCATGGGAGGAGGCACAAGTACCTCCTCATCTTTGGGACCAACTGTCCCCAGGCCTAGTCACAGTCCCCGCCCTCACGGGGCTCGCAGGGAGAAGCTAGGCCTCTGGTCTGCCATCTGCCCCGAACTTACATTTTTGTTTAAAGTATATATCAGATTGCTGGAGGAATAAAAAAGTCAGTTTGGTATTTGTATTGTATACTATTTAGTAGGTTATCCTTTTTAAATCCGTAAAGAAACAGAAGAAAAACTGTTTATTTGTACCAAAAACCTGTATTTTAATAAATGTCCTAAAACGTCCTCATTCTCTCCAGGTTGATTTAAGTACGTCCATTAGCGGTGATATATTTTAATTATATGTACACAGCACAAATATTTGAGTAATTTTCCTGTGTTCAGAAAGAGCACAAAATGTGTATTTTTAAATTCATTAAAACGAGCAAATTATTCCGTAAATTAGTCCAAAGTTTAGGTTTTATATCATGAAATTAATATAGGGAAACAACTAATCAGATTTTAATGTAGGTTTAAGTGTAACTGCAGAAAGTGTGTGGTATTGCCCTGTGCTGTGAAAATTTACATCACTATGGTTGTGAATTTTATTTGTCACCTTGATGACGCACGCCAAAACTATCCTCAGAACGCTAGCATAAATATAAAAGGAACACAGCAGATAATTTGCTTGATTTACAAAAATATTGTTGGTTCTACCATAAACAGTAGACATTATCACCTATTTGTATTTAAAAAAATTGCTACTCTCTCTACTAATTTGCCTTGATGCCACAAATTATTGTAAAACAAGTAAAACAATTCATATCCCACAAGCCATGTCCACAATTCATTTAAGTCATTGACTATAACAACAAATTTTCACAAAAGGGAAAATATTCCTATTACAGTGGAAAAAAAAACATGACAAGCAAACCCTCAGTCGGAAGACTGGTACACTTCCAGTGGAAGGCCCATAAATCTATGAGTATTACAACACCGCATTACTGTCACTCAACGTGGGTATAAGACGCATGTAATATATCCAGAAACCATGCCCTGTTGCTAAGGACTTATAAGTAATAGATAAAATAATAGTTATATGAAGGATGTTGATTTAATACACAAAAGATGCCCAGTTTGTACTTTAGAACCAACACCGAACATATTGATAATGTACTCACCCATGACTCCAACCCTGTACTGGAGGACGACCAGGAACAATGTCATGGTCGAGGAGGACGTGTGGCTCGTACTCAACAGAACCTCCGGCCAAGAATCCTCCTCCATGTATGTACACCATTACCGGCAACTGCTTAAACGACGCCACCTGCCACAAAGTGATCGCAACCAGACCATTAACACGAGGGCGCCTCTTACATTTAGTTAAGAACACTTAATAACAATATATATTACATGGCATTTTGTAAATAACTTTCCTGGTTGAGAATAAGTTAGTGTCTTCTAAGATAACAGAAGCGAAGAACTACGAACTTATTCAATTCTAAAGGGTGTTTTGATGCAGGTGAAGGGCTCTTCATCCAAGGTATTAGAACTATATTACTCTTCATGGACTCAAACCTCATAACTTCACTTTATTATGACATGGTATTTACCCCTGCGTGTTTAGTGCTTCTCTATGACTGTATTTACACCTGCGTGTTTAGTGCTTCTCTATGACTGTATTTACACCTGCGTGTTTAGTGCTTCTCTATGACTGTATTTACACCTGCGTGTTTAGTGCTTCTCTATGACTGTATTTACCCCTGCGTGTTTAGTGCTTCTGTGTGGCTCACCATCCTCCGTCGTGCTCCGTCGTTTTAGTGGAATATTTCCAGCTCTGGAACTAATCAAGCAATTAATAGTACACACTGAGCCCCTAAAATTATAAAAAGTGAGCAATAACATATCAGAGCCAAACTGCTGGAGGGGAACTATAGGCCTAGGCGTGCCGTGTGCAAAAAAAAAAAGAAAAAAAAAAACTTAGAGCATATTTGTAAAAGCCAGTGGTACCGTGGTATGTAGATAAGATACCATAAATGCTATGGTGAGAATTAAGACGGAAGTGATAATGTCCAAACAGATAGATAATTCGTGTAAACAGTTGCCAGCAGTCGCCAGGATACTACCACGCAGGTCAGCTTGTATTAATAATCTTCATAAACATGAGCCAGAGTAGGCTGTGATACAGTACATGAGCCAGAGTAGGCTGTGACACAGTACATGACCCAGAGTAGGCTGTGACACAGTACATGACCCAGAGTAGGCCGTGACACAATACATGAGCCAGAGTAGGCTGTGACACAGTACATGAGCCAGAGTAGACTGTGACACAATACATGAGCCAGAGTAGGCTGTGACACAGTACATGAGCCAGAGTAGGCTGTGACACAGTACATGACCCAGAGTAGGCTGTGACACAATACATGAGCAGAGTAGGCTGTGACACAGTACTGAGCCAGAGTAGGCTGTGACACAGTACATGAGCCAGAGTAGGCTGTGACACAGTACATGAGCCAGAGTAGGCTGTGACACAGTACATGACCCAGAGTAGGCTGTGACAGAATACATGAGCCAGAGTAGGCTGTGACACAATACATGAGCCAGAGTAGGCTGTGACACAATACATGAGCCAGAGTAGGCTGTGACACAGTACATGAGCCAGAGTAGGCTGTGACACAATACATGAGCCAGAGTAGGCTGTGACACAGTACATGAGCCAGAGTAGGCTGTGACACAGTACATGACCCAGAGTAGGCTGTGACACAATACATGAGCCAGAGTAGGCTGTGACACAGTACATGAGCCAGAGTAGGCTGTGACACAGTACATGAGCCAGAGTAGGCTGTGACACAGTACATGACCCAGAGTAGGCTGTGACACAATACATGAGCCAGAGTAGGCTGTGACACAATACATGAGCCAGAGTAGGCTGTGACACAATACATGAGCCAGAGTAGGCTGTGACACAGTACATGAGCCAGAGTAGGCTGTGACACAATACATGAGCCAGAGTAGGCTGTGACACAGTACATGAGCCAGAGTAGGCTGTGACACAATACGTGAGCCAGAGTAGGCTGTGACACAGTAAATGGCCAGAGTAGGCTGTGACACATACATGAGCCAGAGTAGGCTGTGACACAGTACATGAGCCAGAGTAGGCTGTGACACAGTACATGAGCCAGAGTAGGCTGTGACACAGTACATGAGCCAGAGTAGGCTGTGACACAGTACATGAGCCAGAGTAGACTGTGACACAATACATGAGCCAGAGTAGGCTGTGACACAGTACATGACCCAGAGTAGGCTGTGACACAATACATGACCCAGAGTAGGCTGTGACACAATACATGAGCCAGAGTAGGCTGTGACACAGTAAATGAGCCAGAGTAGGCTGTGACACAATACATGAGCCAGAGTAGGCTGTGACACAGTACATGAGTTAGAGTAGGCTGTGACACAGTACATGAGCCAGAGTAGGCTTTGACACAATACATGAGCCAGAGTAGGCTGTGACACAGTATATGAGCCAGAGTAGGCTGTGACACAATACATGAGCCAGAGTAGGCTGTGACACAGTACATGAGCCAGACTAGGCTGTGACACAGTACATGAGCCAGAGTAGGCTGTGACATAGTACATGAGCCAGAATAGGCTGTGACACAGTACATGAGCCAGAGTAGGCTGTGACACAGTACATGAGCCAGAGTAGGCTGTGACACAGTACATGAGCCAGAGTAGACTGTGACACAATACATGAGCCAGAGTAGGCTGTGACACAGTACATGAGCCAGAGTAGGCTGTGACACAGTACATGACCCAGAGTAGGCTGTGACACAATACATGAGCCAGAGTAGGCTGTGACAATACATGAGCCAGAGTAGGCTGTGACACACTAAATGAGCCAGAGTAGGCTGTGACACAATACATGAGCCAGAGTAGGCTGTGACACAGTACATGAGCCAGAGTAGGCTGTGACATAGTACATGAGCCAGAATAGGCTGTGACACAGTACATGAGCCAGAGTAGGCTGTGACACAGTACATGAGCCAGAGTAGGCTGTGACACAGTACATGAGCCAGAGTAGACTGTGACACAATACATGAGCCAGAGTAGGCTGTGACACAGTACATGAGCCAGAGTAGGCTGTGACACAGTACATGACCCAGAGTAGGCTGTGACACAATACATGAGCCAGAGTAGGCTGTGACAATACATGAGCCAGAGTAGGCTGTGACACACTAAATGAGCCAGAGTAGGCTGTGACACAATACATGAGCCAGAGTAGGCTGTGACACAGTACATGAGTTAGAGTAGGCTGTGACACAGTACATGAGCCAGAGTAGGCTTTGACACAATACATGAGCCAGAGTAGGCTGTGACACAATACATGAGCCAGAGTAGGCTGTGACACAATACGTGAGCCAGAGTAGGCTGTGACACAGTATATGAGCCAGAGTAGGCTGTGACACAATACATGAGCCAGAGTAGGCTGTGACACAGTACATGAGCCAGAGTAGCTGTGACACAATACATGAGCCAGAGTAGGCTGTGACACAGTACATGAGCCAGAGTAGGCTGTGACACAATACATGAGCCAGAGTAGGCTGACACACAGTACATGAGCCAGAGTAGGCTGTGACATAGTACATGAGCCTACACCTGACGTTGCCATATTTCCTCTACCAGCTCTTAATTATATGAATAATTTAGTACTAAAGCTTCTATTAGCTAATATACCACCTCTTTTAA